CCGCCTCCCGCGCAGGCGCACTGCTGGCCTCCGCGTACCCTTCTCCCCTCCCCCACTTTGGGACCGCCATCTTTCTAGTGGGCAGTGCCCTTTGCGTCATCTTCCTCCTCCCATCCTTTACCACACTACTCGTGAGGGGGGCCCGGTAGGCCCCGGCTGTAAAATCCGGGTTTTCCCGCCCCTCCCTCACCTCTCCCACTTCAGTAAGATCAGCCTTCCCCGAACCGGCTCTTCCCAGTTGATAGTCTCCCTGATGACTTTCAAAAGCTCCTTTCTCGTAATACGATTTTATAAAGTAGGTTCCTCTAAATGTAAAGAAGTCTGTGGAAAACTCAAAGTAAATGAGGTGCTTTGTTTTGTTTTAAAGCCGAGTCAACGTAATTGGCCGGGTAACTTGGCTTCAGCCCAGCAAGCTTTGAGGTCACGTGATTGCCCCATTCCTCCAAGCCTGAGGTTTCGCAGTCCCGCGCCGCCGGGATGGAACTCTATCGCCATTTCCGGTCTGTAGATCGTGGGGCATCGTCACTTCCTTAGCAGTACACTTTAACCCATTCCACCCATGCCTTCTAGGTTGCACTTTACAACATAACCTTTATGGGAGTTTTTAGTTTTTTCTTAGGATTTAATCGCAACAAAATTAACGTTCAAACAATCCGCAAAAATTCAGGCCCCTAAGATGTAACGCGCCAGCCTGGTGGCGGCAGGGCGGAGCTCAGGGTCACGTGACTGTCTAGACCCGCCCCGCCCTCTGCAGCTGAAGACTTCTCCTCCCTCAGTGGCCGAGCCTGGAGGTCCGTGGTCTGTGCTGCTTCTGCGTCTCGCGCAGTGTCAGGTGAGCGGCGACCTGTAACCGGCGGCAGGTGGGGATCAGAGAAGGGGTGGGAGGAGGGAGAGAAGGGAGAGCGTGAACGGCGGCCTCAGCGGGTCTGGGCTTCCTTCCCGCTGTCATCCTGCACGGACGAGGAGCCCATTTCGCCCGTTCTCCTCCCCCCGCGCTCCCCCACTGAGTTGAGACGCCCCCGCGGGTTGAGACGTCCACTGTTCTCGGCTTTGGGGGTGAGTGCGGCCATTATGGTTTCCTCTTCGGAGTCTGTGGGGCTTCGGGTCGTGGGATTGATTCAGCCATTCTTGCGGGTCTGTAGTAGCCTGTAGTTCCCAATCCCCAAAGCCCATTCTTTGGTAGAGGCCCTGCCCGTCTTCCCTTCCACCTGCGGCTGGGGAGCGGGCAGGTATGAAGAACCCTGGAGGCAGAGGCGTCTCCGGTGAGACTGGCTTGGGAGGGAATGACACTGGTGTGGCCCTGGCTGCGGAGTCACTGCAAAGCCTGCTTCCGAACGTGCTTTCTCAATAATGTTGAGCTTTTAGCTGATAGCCTTGCAAGAGGCGTCCTGTAGGTGCTCACAGGCTTTGGAAGGGTAAAAGCAAGCCTTCTAGCTTTCTGGTCTGTGATGTTATGGTGCCGTAAGGGAGAGGATAGTTGAAAGCATAAACGGGAGGTGTAAGTAACGACAGCCGCGATTGAATGGGGAGGCGTTGGAAGATGGTGTTTCGGTGTCGCGATGCGAGACTGGCTGGTTTGTGGGAAAGTGATTAGGTTTCACTAAAAGGGACCTAGTTCTTCAGGACACTAATTGGGCAGGAATATACTTGAATCAAATATGCTTCACCATAAACTGAAAGGAAAGGAGGTGAAATTGAGAGGCTGCTGACTTCGTGTTTTATGCCTTTGACGTTTTCCTTTGCCATTTCTCCCTAATATCGCACTTACTTGCCACTCCCAAGCAATTCCGTGACCAGCAGCAAATCCATTTTAAGTAGCACTTATGCCCCTCCTTAGCTTTCCCCATTTGTAAAACTCCAGGTGACCTCTTCAGATTTTGATGAATAGTATTTTGTGAAAATACAGAAATTATTTTGCTGAGGTTTTTGCCCAACCCAGTGTACTCCCATGTCATTTGCAATGTAGTAACCAATGTTTTGACCCCAAACAATGTGCTTTAGGGAAGAGTGTTTTTCAGTTTGGGGTTTAAACTCTTTTATTTATACTGCAAACATAGAAGGTCCCGTGGTTCTTTTAAATTGGAAGGCCTAGCAGAAATTATAATTTTGATTTTAAAATGTAAATTTTTAAATCTGAAAAATAATAGTCTCAGTTAAACCTTTTAATTTTCTAACCAATATAATGGAAGAATCCATTAAAAAGAGCTGGAAAATGAGAAAGATGGAATCATCTTTGAGTGGTGAATGTGACTGACTGATTTTTGGTTTTCTGTATCTTCCAACTTCTCCACAATTAACTGGTCTTATTTTAATTGAGGAAAACAAAAGTTAAATTCTAGAGTAATAGTGATTTAATAAGACTTCCCCTCTTTCGGTGACATTCCACCAAATTAGACAAATTCCTGAAGTTTCCTAGAGGTTCAAACCAGTCCTGTCTGGATAAGACCAAAAGGGGAAAGAAAACCAGCTAAAATGCAAGGAGTACTAGTTGGGGGAATGTCAGTATGAAAGAGGCTGAATGACTCTGCAGTTTTACTTCACAATTCCCCCAATTTTAGGGAACTTATTAAAGCAATAACTTAGAGTCTAAGTCTTAGACCACTAATGAAATCAGAAAGATTATCAGCAGGAATTGATAACTAAATTGCTATTAAAGTTTAAGTTGAAAAAGACCTCTGATATAATACACAGTTTACAATACAAACAGGTAGTTTGAAGTTTGGAAGTCCGACTAGCTTTATCAGTTAATTAGTATTACATATAAAAATCTTAACATGTATTAGGGAATTGTGCTATAGTCCAATATTAAATGGCGCACAAGGATTTTTGTGTTAGGGTTCCTAATACCACTTATGTGCTTACTCTGAGGTATAATATTTCATTGCTTTTATAGATTATTGCCACCATCAAGAATGCTTTCTTTCCCTATGGGCAGAGAGCCTGGAGACCACATACTACTACACAATATTTTCTATTCCTCAGTTTTCACTTCTAGCACATTTAAGTACTGTTTTCTGGGCTGTTACTTAGTAAACCATAAAGCTCTTAGCAGTTCAAGGACAGTGTCTCTACTGTTGTGTCTTCAGCACTAGGTTGCTGATGTACCTGATAGGTACACAGTAAATTGTTTATTGAATGAGTGTTTGACAACTGGACAAGGAATTCAAACTATTTTCAAAGTTCTTGCAGATCATAGTTCCTTCTGAGGTTGTGCACTATTCGTTTTCAAATATAAATTGCTACTAACCATCCAAGTCATGGTCAATACAGTAGATATAAACCTCGGATGGACTTTATTAATACAGTGACCAGTTTATTTTCACAGGACATTTGGATGAAAGTGAAAGGAAAGGAAGAGAATGAGTTGTACTTAATGAAAAAGTGGGTTGTACAGACAACAAGTGATATAGCATTCAACTAAAAGTCAGGATCATCATTCAACTCTGCCACTTTAGTTTCATGCTCTTTTAAGTAAAGTTGGGGGTGTGGATTAAGGTTTTTATACTTAGCAGCCTTCCTGTCAAGATTACTGTGAATTTAAGTGAGATTAAACTGTAGATAACCTATGTGAAAATATTTAAAACCTAAGTGGTATTTTTTTTTTGAATCCTCACCTGAGGATATATTTTTTCCATTGATTTTTAGAGTGAGTGAAAGGGAGGGAGGAGGAGGAGAAAGAGAGAGATGATTGACCTGAGAGAGACATCAGTGCACACACCCCTACTGGGGCAAGGGATCAAACTTGCAACCCAGGTATGTGCCCTTGACCGGGAATCAAACCCATCACCCTTCGGTCTGCGTGCCAACTCTCTAACCCCTGAGCCACACTGGCCAGGGCTAACCTAAGTGGTATTGAAATGTAAAGCAAAATAGTACAGACTTTACTAGAAAAGATTTCCTAAGCTTTGTGACCTTGGACAGTTTACTTAATCTAAGCTTAAATTCCCTCATGTTTAAATCTATCCATAGGTGCTATTAAATTAGATCATGAATGCAGAGGGCCTAGTATATACAGGGTGGGGGAAAAGTAGGTTTACAGTTGTGAGTACACGAAACACAGAGTTTATTCTTGTATTATTATTTATTAATGATTGTATTATTTTCATATGAATAACTATAAACCTATTTTTGCCCCATCCTGTACTTTATAAAGAAGACTGAAGACATTTTATAAAATTGAGTAACAGGTTTGGAGAAAGGAGTAGAATTTGAAATGAGAATTGGTGGTATTGAAAAGCTGAAATTTGTAATGAGGCCATTCAGAAAAATAGAGGAGAAAGAAAAATATACTTTTAGCAAAGATTATAAAGCAGATTTATTAATAGGAACTGAGAAATATCAATATATAGACCATTATTTTGGCAACTACAGTGACTTAATATTTTCTATAAAAAGATTTTCCAAAGCATATGATCATTAGTATGTGGAATCAATTTAAGGAGGTAGTTCTTCTATTTCTAAATTATTATCCCTACAATGGATTATAGAAATATATTAAAATTGTACAGACCTATAGAAAACATGAGTTTACACATGTTTAAAATGTTTGCCTTTTATTTTAAGTGTTTTTATATAGTATTTTTATCCTCATATGAAGTAGACATAGGCATGTAAAAAACATAATGGAGAAATGAAGTAGAATAAAATTTTTCCCTTCCTAGGTTGAGATGATTCACAAGGATTGGTGGGTTTGTATTGGAAAATATCAGTACATTAAATAATAATTGAAGTATAGCTGTCATGAGTTTATGTTTCACCTTACTCTTGAAAAAAAATTATTACTCATTTGTTCTGAGGAAAAATTTTATTAAGAGATTATTAGTAAAACTTTAAAAGTTTTACTATTTTCTTTTATATTATGAAATGAAAGTGGCTTTGATTTAATAAGCGTATTCTCTTATACGTATAGTATATGTGTGTGTATATATATTCTGTGCATAGTAATCTGTGGCTTCTTTATATCCTTAGTTTTACGACTTCTGTTCAGGTAGATTTCAGGCAGTTATGAATGATGAACAACTAAGTTACAGAACAACTTAGTTGTAATTTTGATGTGGTTGTGGGAGGATGTGAGTGCGCATTTACTTACTCTGGAATCTTGACCAGAAGCGTTCATATAAAGGAATTTAATACGTACATGAGATGGTATATTTCAGTCGAATGGGAAATAAGGGCACATATATAGTAAATGTAACTGACATAACTTCTCTGTCTAGAAGAAAATAAAATTGAGCCAGGACTTAGCAGTATTTGCAAAATAAAATTTCATATGATTAAAAGCTTAAATATAAATAGTGAAATACTTAAAATATTAAACTCCCTAAATTTTTTTTATGTATACAAGATTGGAAACTTAAAAGTTACAAAAGCAAACATAGATATATAATGAAGAATTTTTCAATGGCAAAAATAAAGGGCAAGACAGACTGAAAAGAAATGTTTGAAATACATATAACAGATAAAAAAATTAACATTTTTAAGAACTATTGCTGTTAAGAAAAAGTTCACACAATAGAAACATGGATAAAACATATGACCAGAACTTCCCAGAAGAGAAATCAAAACATTTAACAAACTTATGAAGAGTTGTATAACCTCACTAGTAATTAGTATACTAACAATAGAATATTCTTTTCTGACTAGCACAAATCAAGTGGTAAACCTGCTGTAGCAGGGATGTGTGGCAAAGGATTTTCTCATTTGATACTAGTGGAGATGTAAATTGTTACAGCGTTTTTAGTAAACAATCAGGCAATAGCTGTTAGTATTGAAAATATATATTCTGGCACCTAGCAATCGCACTCTGTGGAATTTTTTTCTTAGACATAAAAGCAACAGTTAGTAAACAAGTTTTTACATG